ACATAATATTACTAAAATTTGGATAATTACAGAAAATATTCAAAATATCCTGCTATAATTTCTAATATAAAATAAGATATATTTAATTAATACTAGAATGTAACAGCTTATTACGGTAGGAGCTGGATCTTCGTTGCTTTAAATAATTCAATCTTGAATTTCTAATATATACTATATATGTACTTGCATATATACCATATTGTAGTCTTTTTCAAACTGCGCGCCGAATTGTTTTTCCGGACTAAATAAACGCAATTAAAACTACTCTAGTAATCGCGAATTAAATTGACAAGCAATTTTAATAATTTGATGCTACCATCAAGCATCATATATTATAAAGATGTTAATCTATAAAAACTATTAATAAATTTATTGCGAAAAATATTACCTCGACCGGGACTTGAACCCGGATCTCTTGTAAACCGTACGAGCGTCCTGAGCCATTAGACTACCGAGGCCTTACTGTTTTATTACATAAAATTCTTTTTATTCCAGGTATTCCGTACATATCAACGATCATCGATAAACTTTCTTTGGTTCACCGTCCAGCAGGTAAGTATATGTATATTTATATTTAATCTTAAATTAATGACATCATTTCTCTTTCAGGTACATTTCTTCAGATGAGTTCTTTCGGTCCTCCGGCTTTGAGGTAGGTATTTATTATTCTGACTAGCTCAACTTATTTTACCGCACGCATTGTATAAACTTAATTCTAGCGCCTCGCGTGTTTCTAGGACACCCGGTAAATCACAAATTGATTTCAAACGTTAATCGTTTTCTTTTCTCACCCTGAACTCCTTTACGTTTCGTTTTTTCGACTGTCTTAAGTTTCGCTGCCGATAACCGATTTACTGGGACACCCGGTATAGTATAATTTTGGTTCAAACGCGATTCTTCTTTGATTTTGGTCCCGTGCCACTTGACGTAGTTAGATTCTTTGAACTCCTCGTTTCTACTCCGAACGACTGAGTTTCTTGAACACCCGGTATATGATAAATTTATCTCGAACGCTATTGTCTTTCGTTCTTACTATTAATTGACTCGACGTTCTTAGTTTATGGCGTCTCGCGGTTTAATTCTGGGATCTGCGGTTTTCGCGGTCACCCGGTATATGATCCTATATTTTCATTACATCATTGCTTTCCGCATTCTTTTCCCTAAACCGTCCTATAGTCGTTTATAGCGTTTTCGGCCCGACCGGGTTTGCACCAACCTGAGTTGGATTAATGACGTTTTGCGCTCCCCTATTGGTAGAGCGTGTGACATCAACCAATAGGAAAGATTAATCCAACTCAGGTTGGTGCAAACCCGATCGGGCCGAAAACGCTATTAGTATTAATTCTGTCGCCATCTCATCAACTGTCCCATTTGGACACCCGGTATAATATTCGCGTATGCTCAACGTTACATTGTTCTTTCGCGTCGCACTTCTGACCCTACGTTTTTACTTTCCGCGTCCTCTTTTCGCGTCCATCTACTAATCGTTATATGCAGCGTTATGATTGGCGCTCGGCCCTTAATTGAAATGAAGACCTATGATTGTTCCAGCGCTCTTCAGCTAAACTAATGATCTTTATCTTTGTCTGATAGACTTATTTTCGCTTAGCGCTTGATGCGCTGCTTCAATACACAAATTTAATAATCTTTCAAATTCAACAATTCTACTTTTCAGTATGATCGACCTCTGATTGGTCTAACGCTCGATGATTAATAAACTAAATAAACTTAACTTCGCTTAGCCCATTGGCCGCGTATTTTCGCAAATTAACTTAATTTACTTTGTAACATAATATTTAATTACTTTGTTAAATGAACTTTATAATCAAGCTTTGAAATCATAACGTAAATTTCTATAATTAATTGTAATTGATTAACTTAAACTATTCTTGGGCTTATGCCCTTTCGCACGCTTTTCGCCGCCTCACGTGCCATGAAGCCCGGAACTGGCTTCCGGCTCCAAAGTCACTGTCGCCCCGGAGGATTGGGAGCCTGGCGCGGTTCTCATGCGCCACGACGCGCGAGGCTTTCTGCTCCAGATTCACGCGGTTACACCAATATTCGGACGACACAGACGTTACAGGCGCTCCGAATCGCTTTAATTATGTCCGAGAGAAAGAAGAGTGAAAGAAGATAAAAAAAAAAAGAAAATATATTTTAGACATTTTATTCTATTTTGATATCAAGAGATGGTTCGACTCGTGAAATTGATATCGCGTACATGGAGACGTTGAGGTAACTAGTAATGAAAAATATAAAATATTGTCCCTCCTCCCTACTCAACGTCAAGAACCTATCCAACAAAGTCCTGTCCCAAGACACTATCTCTGCGCTTGCCAAAGGCCCGAACTTCGCAGTGGCACCTAGAAAGGTC